GATTGAAGACCTCTGCTTCCAAGACACTCTCTCAGACTTTTCATCTGACAAAGTTTGCTTGTTAACATTCCTCCTCCTATGTTGGTTAGCGCTACCTCCACTCCACTTTCACGAGATACCAAGTTAGCCTGTCATCAGCCTTTCTAGCCTTCTACATAGCCTTGTCTTTTGTTTGGGTAATAGGGCTTTTTTCCGTCTCACCCCAGGACTGGTCTCAAACACAAAAAAAGTCTTTTTGCTCTTCTTTTCCTTCTGGCAAGAGTTATCGCCTTCCCATCATGCACCCTGGGATCCATACCATAATTTTCCCAAAAACCCTGGAGTCTTTTTCAAAAATGTCTTTTCATAATTATATATTAAATTATCATTTTCTGTTTCAGTGCTTTACATTGCTTATTTGAACTGAGGGGAATGCAACTGAGCCAAAAGACCTAACGGGACACTGGACATTCCAAGTACAGCTATATAAAACTGATCCCCCTATCATCATCAACCAGTCTTGCTGGGACCCTTCCCACTCCCAAGTCTCAGTCTATTTTGATGCATGACCTGAAAAGGTCAAAGGCCATTGGTGGTCAACTGGATGCACAAACTTAAATGTAGAACACAGTTACCAAAAACTAAAAAAAATACTTTAGAATGGAAACAGTCAATAAGGAGTTATTGTAAATCCCAGACATGGTTTCCTGGTTGCTACCCACATCCAGGACCAGAATGTAAATGCTACCCTCTCAGGGAGGAGAGGTGTGATAGCTCTGGAAGATATTACTGTAACAAAGGGAAAAGATGTTATAGGGAATATTGGGGAGATACTGGCTCCTCCTTGGTTGCCCTTCCAACATCACCATATTGTTCACAGGGACCTGCAATCCAATGGTTTACACTATTAAAGACCCCCAAGACCCCGATTGGGCCATAGGACACCATGGGGGCATTCAGGTCCCACTAAAAATCACTGGCAGGGCGATCCAGGACAACTCTTTACCATACAAAGGGTCTGGCACCCTCCTCCACAAATAAAGGTACCACGACCCAGGCCTCAGGTGGTTCCCCTAGTCCCCCAAAAACCAGAGCCAGCATACAATAATTCACAGACTCCACCCACCCAGGATATTTTTCTAAACTCGGACCTGGTACAATCCTAAATTCCACCCATGGCATTCTCCAGGAGGTAAACCCACAGCTAGGACACAACTGCTAGCTATGTGGGCAGCTTACAAGACTATATTACAGGGCCCTAGGGATAACGGTGCCAAATTGCCAAATCGACAGATCAATCAGACTAACTCTTCTGGAAAGTTACTTCAGCCCCACTCAATCAAGGCCTGGGGTAATGCCTCATGTTTAAGAGGGACAAGCCATACAGTGGATGTAATAGCTTCTTGTTTTGAGGTCCAAAATGTCACCCACAGTTCACTAGTGCCTCCAGCTGGAACCTTCATAATATGCTATGATGGGATTTATTCCTCATTTACAAATGCCACCATGGGACTATGTGCTATAGCCTTCCTAATTCCAGACATTGATGTATATTTTGGGGAAGGGGGACTTACCCCCTCCCACTCTCAACCAGAAAAAAAGGGATCCCATAATCCTACCCATACTGGCAGGAATAGCTATAGCAGGAAGTGTAGCTGCGAGTGCCACTGCACTAGGACTAGGACAAAAACAGCTTACAGATCTGGGGTATCAAATTCCTTCAGAGCTTGATGCCACACAGGAGGCCATTAATATCTTACAGCAACAGATAGACTCCCTGGTGGAAGTAACACTCCAAAATAGAAGGGCCATTGACATCCTCAGAGCAGAACAAGGAGGAACCTGTGCCTTTTTAAAGGAAGAATGTTGCTACTATGCCAATAAATCCAGAGTGGTAAGAGAAATTACATGTCAAATGAGGGAAAGACTAAGGACTCAGTGGGCCAGATAAGCCCCCCAAGGTGCTAATTAATGGTGGGATACTATTGGTTCCTGGAGCTCATGGCTTCCCTGGCTATTACTGCTCTTAGGATCCCTCAATATTATCTGTCTGATCCTCTGCTTTGGACCATGCTTGTTTCACTGTTTTCAAAGTTTCTTGCAGGAACACATGAGGGGATTTACCAACCAGACAGTCATGGAGCTCATCATGGTGGGGTACCAGCCATTGTGGTAGAGGGAAGAAGCCCCCACCTACCACCAATTCCATCAGATCCAGGTTTAGCCCCAACCTTTGCCCCTTTGTCAGCTTGAAGCAGCTCCAGGAGAAGAGACCTCTGCCCAGCAACCCTAAACCAAAAAGCCTGGAATTGGGCCAGGGATTTACCTCAGTGGTTCCAGCGCCTGCCTCGAAAGTGCAAAGTCCCAAGTTGGATCCCCAGTACCAAAAAAAAAGCCTGGAATGTTGCCTTAAAGTGGCTGCTATATAAAATGGCAGCCTTCTACTTCCCATAATACCCTGCTTCCCACTTTAAAATATGACTTCACCAGCCAAAAGACAACCTTCTTCCCAACATGCCCCTCTTCCTTCCAAAAGAATAACCTGATACTTGCTACCTCCTAGAAACTAGTGATGTCACAGTCTCCTCCAATCCCTAGCCACTACATCACTCAACCCCACTCCAGCTCCTATAAGAAGCGTTCCTTGTCCCGGACGTATTGTTCTCTCTTCTTTGGAGACACCCTGGCAGACTGTTCCTACAATAAATGCTTGTTGTGGTTCTGGTCTGGTCTTGGTTTTCGGCTCTTTTTCCTGACACATGGCACCTATCGAGGGCCTTTAGATAGACTCTCTGTAGAGTAACTGCTGATCACAACTATGACCCTCTTCAGGTGGAAGTGGCCAGACTAGTCTGAGCCCTTTGCCTCCTTATAGCAGTTAGGGGTACTTCTTCAGAGGGGGGAATATTGCAGATAGGTAATTTAATTAGATATCTTGTAGGCAGTTAGACAGGGCCAGCCCAGGAGCAGCCAACTTGGAGGACAGTCAAGGAGCCAACATGGAGGACAATCAAGACACATTCATTGAAGGCCAGAATTGGAAAAGGAGAGAAACCACACCCTTGTGCTTCCCCTGGGAATAAATAGCAGTGATTGATATTCTAAATAGGTATCAATCACCTGGATGGAGGGTCAAGATCTTAACCCAGCCTCTCCAGGAAATATCCCTGACCCCCACCCTTACTGAAAATCCTTTTATGCTTGCTAAGTGACTTGCTCCCCCATTTGACCCCCATTTAATCAATATTACCCAGGTGACTGTATTTGTAATCTTATTGGTTGGCCATGGTTTTGTCCCACCTCATGCCCACCTTGTAAAATTCCATTAGGTCTTATAGTTTTGTCCCACTTTGTACCTGCCTCACCACATGGCTTTTACTGTATAAAACATCTTTGAAAAGTGGGGTGGGTGGGCAACCCACTTTCCAGACCCCCTTCTGTCTCTCTTAGGCAGAACCTTTCTTTCTCTCAATAAATTTTTCCTACTCTTAACCTCCTCTGTTGTTCCTAGAATTCATTCTTCGATTTTAGAGAACACGAGCTCGTGTTTGGGATATCTAGTAAGTTTGGGAGTTACATGTCTTCCCCCTATATCAGAACCACAGCATTTGCAGGTTTAGTCTTCTGGGTCTATTCCAGTCTCCCATCTTTCACCACAGGATTTGCATCTCTTTATTTTTGTTATTTGTTTTGAGATATTCTATTTCATTTTGTAGAGCTGTCTTGAGTCTAGAAAATGACTATTCTCTCTTTTGAATTATCTATGAAGATTTCTAGCTCTAGCTAGTTCAAGGAAATCTTGTGTTGAGCTGCACACACATCTCTGGGCTTTCCTGGTTCATCAGGGCTGCAGGGATCTCTGCTGCCAGGCCTGTGTTCCCTGATTTGTCTGCTTTCTCTTCGGCAGCAGCTGAGAAATTCAGCCCACATCAGTTTTCTGAGAAGTCAGGGAAACTGAACAAAGGCACTGATCATCCTTGGCTAGAAGACTGTTTCTAGGAATTCATCCCCCCCTCCTTCTCTCCCTTCATTTTTTGCTTGGTGCTTGGGATTGAAGCCAGCACCTCATACCTGGAAGGCCCCTGTCCTTGCTCTAAGGTTTTTCTCCAGAACTTGTGTGCAGGAAAGTCTCTGCTGGGAGCCCACCCAAGCCCAGGGAATGCCTAGCTGTGGCCAGGAGCTGTACGGGGGTGTGGAGAGCATCATTAGGGCCACCATCTGCCCAGGATGGTTCTACCCATCCTGCCCCTGCTCCGAGTAGTGTAAACATTATTGATAATACCACAGAATCACCAAAAGACTGAAACACAAGCCATTGACAGAAGTTGCCCCTGGGAAGTAGGACTAGGAATGGGATGGGAGTGAACCTTGTATTATCCCACCCCCATTCTAGGATTTCTCAGCCTCAGCACTATTTATTCTTTGGGCAAGAATTCCTTGTAGTGGACAGCTGACCTGGTTGTTATAGACCTCTTCCACTAGCACAGCCTTCCCACTCTGACAACTAAAACTATTTTGGGCTGGGGATTTAGCTCAGTGGTTCCAGCACCTGCCTCACAAGCACAAGGTCCCAAGTTCGATCCCTGGTACGAAAAAAATAAACCAACACACAACTAAAACTATTTCTGGGGCTGGGCTGAGGCTCAATGATGTAGCACATACTTAGCACACACAAGGCCCTGGATTCAATCCCCAGCACCAAATAACAACAACAACAACAATAATGTTTCCCCAAGAGCAAGGGATTTAGCTCAGTGGTGCCACCATCTCCCTTGCAAGTGCAAGGTCCTGAGTTCGATCCCCCGTACCCAAAAAATGTTTCCTCAAGTTCCCAAATGTCCCCTGAGGACAGTCTCCCCTAGTTGTATACTCCTTCCACAGCTTAGATTCTATATGATTTTTTCCTTATGCACATAACATTTCTATGATTAAACATTTAACTGAGGTCATAAAGGAAGAAATGTGAAACTTAAGAGGAAGTAGAGAATATACAGTAAAGAAAAGAAAGCAAGTCTGTGGGACTGCATAACTCTGTAATCATAAAACTCCCCTAGCCCCAACTGTGAATGTGAGTAAATAGATAAAGATGCTTGTTAGTTCTGGGACACTAGATAAGATCTGTTTCAGCCATAAGGTCCCAAAGTAAATTACTCAACTCTTTGTTCTGTTGAACTGATGTTCTGAACACTGCTATCTATAGAACTATCTACAAACATCTGCTGACCATCAGTACATGTCAGCTGACCACTACCCTTTGTTCCTCTTCTGTAAATTTCTCCTGTTAACTTCCCCTGCAACCCCTTATAAAAAGAGCCTCCGACTCTGGGCTAGTCACCTCTCTAAGCTACTTTGCTTTGGGAGTGCCATCTGGCCAGACTAAGGTCTATTTTACTTTCCAACTTGTCTGGTGTGTTCCTTCCTGGGTGTTCTTCGCTGCAGTCAGCTCCTCAGAGCGTTTGGTAAGGCCCTCGGTCTTACATTTTGGAGGCCCCAGTGAGATTCCCGGGTAAGGAACCCCGGTTCAGCCGGGACTCTGTGGCGGGATCCAGCAGGAGACTCAGGCACAGACCTCAGAAAACCTCCAGAGGTAAGTTTTTGGCTGGTTGCAACCATTTGTTGTCAGGAGTGAGGTGGCTGATGGGCTGGTAAGCCTCCCCTGACCCCAAGGTTCCTGACGAGGAACAAGGGAAGATTTAGTTTCACTTTTGTTGCGGTGCCTGTTCATCTTGTCGTTCGTACGTTAGTGTCCTGTCCGTTGTGTGTTTAATTTTGTATTTCTTTCCAAACCATCAAGGCAGAGATGGGAGGATCCTGCTCCAAAAATACCCCATTGGATTGTTTTCTCACTAATTTTAAATTGGCTCCCCGCCCCCGCCCCCCCCCAACAGGAGGACGAATATGGGGTTAAATTATCTCGCGGAAAACTTTGCTCCCTGTGTCAATTGGAATGGCCGGCCTTTGGAGTTGGATGGCCAGCTGAGGGCTCTCTTGACCCAAGCCTCTGCAGTGTGGTATGGAAAAGGGTCACCAGGCACCCTAGCCATCCTGATCAGTTTCCATATATAAATATCTGGGTTCAGGCTTGTCAGGAGCCTCTGGCTTGGTTGCAGCATTCTTTCTTGCAAACAAATTCTCGCATTTTGGTTATGGCCCCAAGGGAACCCTGAGAAGTCAAAGCCCAGGCTCCCAAGCCAGTGCTCTCACAAGATCCTGATCCCTTAGACCCCTCTATAAGACCTCCACCCTATGTGGAGCCTTCCTCCTCCTCTGAAAAAACCGGCCCCAGGTCTCGAAACCCTTTCTACCCTCCTCTTCCCGAAGAAGAAAAATCTCCAGATTCTATAACCTCCCCCTCCCACATGTGAACAGGGGCCGCTTATGGTCCCAGCAGGGCTCCCACTGAAGGGACTAGTTCAGTTCCTCTTCTGCCTCTTAGGGAAATAGAACAGGATCATTATGTCTATATCCCTTTCTCTACCAGTGATTTGTATAATTGGAAACATCAAAATCCCCCTTTTTCAGAAAAACCTCAGGCTTTGATCTCCCTCCTAGAATCTGTTTTTCATACCCATGACCCAACCTGGGATGATTGTCAACAACTTCTCCAAGCCCTTTTTACCTCTGAGGAAAGAGAAAGGACCCAAGGGCAAGCCATAAAGTCAGTGTTAGGAGGAAAGGAGGGCCCACTCGATGAACAACAGTGGGCCCGTATTGAGGCATAACTTCCATCCACCCGTCCCCCATGGCAAACTAATTCCTCAGGCGGGAGAGAAGCTCTCCAAAACTACTGTCAGCATCTCCTAGCCGGCTTGAGGGGAGCCGCTCAAAAGCCTACCAATTTGAGCAAGGTAAGCAAGGTCCTTCAAGGACCTGAGGAATCCCCTTCTGCCTTTCTGGAGCGTCTGTTGGAAGCACACCGTACGTATACTCCAATTGACCCAGATCCCCCTGCAAATCGACAGGCAATTAATTTGGCTTTTGTCACTCAGTCTGCCCCAGATATTAGGAAGAAATTGCAGCGGATGGAGGGATTTGAGGGAGAAAATAGGGAAAAATTGATGAGTGTGACAATGAAGGTTTTTAATAACAGGGATCCTTTTGATGATAGAATGGTTAAAAAGATTTTAAAAAAAGCAAATATTGCAGCCTTAGTAGATGGAGGGTTCATCCAAAAGGAACACGGAGAAAATAAAAAAGAGGATAAAAGTAAAGTACGGCCCTTGTTAGAGAAGGATCAATCCACATATTGCAAAGAGAAGGGCCATTATAAAAGGGACTGTGAAAAGTTGAAAAGAAAGAGAGAGAAAGAGACTAAGAAAGAAAGAGACAGGGCTCATCTAGTAGATAAAAAGACTGATGAGGCCAAGGTGGGGATCTCCAAACACATCCACCAACTCCAGGAAGCTGGCATCTTGGTCCCTTGCCAATCCACCTGGAATACACCCCTGCTTCCTGTAAGGGAGCCTGGCACCTCAGACTTCAGACTGGTACAGGATTTGTGGGAGGTAAACAGCTGGGTTGAGACCGTCCACCCAACGGTACTGAACCCCTATACTCTGTTGAGTCTCATCCCTCCTGCTCATGTGTGGTACTCAGTATTAGACCTCAAAGACGCATTTTTCAGCCTGCCTCTAGCACCAGTGAGCCAGCCCCTCTTTAACTTCGAACAGACTGACCCAGACACCAGGACTACCAGACAGCTGACATGGACCCAGCTGCCACAGGGATTCAAGAACTCCCCCACTCTGTTCCGGGGAAGCTCTCAGCAAGGATTTACACAAAGTAAGAAAAGTGTTTCCCCAGGCGACTATTCTTCAGTATGTAGATGACCTCCTGGTGGCAACTTCAACCAAGAAAGAGTGTCTTGCGGCCACTGAGGGCCTCCTGAAAGCCCTCCAAGACCTGGGATATCGGGTGTCTTGGAAGAAATCTCAGCTCTGTCGGACCAAGGTAACCTACTTGGGCTATATTCATGAAAAGGGAAAGAGGAGCCTGGCAGAATCGAGGGTATCCATAATTCTCCAGATTCCGGAGCCAAGCTAAAAGAAACAGGTGTGAGAATTCCTAGGGGCGGTTGGCTATTGCAGAATTTGGATTCCTGGCTTTGGTGAGATTGCCAAACCCCTGCAAGAAGCCACTGCGGGAGGAAATACGCCCCTTAAATGGACCGAGGCTTGCCAGCAGGGATTTCAATTGCTTAAGACTGCGCTTACATCAGCACCAGCCCTGGCATTGCCAGACTTAAACAAGTCCTTCACCTTGTATGTAGCAGAGAAAAATGGGGTAGCCAAGGGAGTGATTACTCAGCTTTTGGGGCCATGGAAGTGACCCGTGGTGTACATATCAAAGAAGCTCGACCCAGTGGCCCAAGGATGGTCTACTTGTCTGAGAGCAGTAGCAGCAGCAGCTGCTTTAACCCGAGAAGCTGACAAATTGACCTATGGACAGGATTTGACTCTGATCACTCCCCATGCCATTGAGCCCTTGTTGAGTAGCTCACCTAGCAAATGACTGTCTAATGCCAGACTGTTACAATATCAAGGACTCTTGTTAGAACAGCCATGCATTAAGTTTGCCACCACCGCTAGCCTCAATCCGGCTACTCTACTCCCGGAATCTGACAAACAAATGCCCATCCATGATTGCCTCAAGACTCTTGAAAACTTCAGGGGAGGACATCTGGACTTGATGGACCAGGCTCTCCCTCGCACAGAGATAACATTCTATACTGATGGGTGCAGTTTCATTCGTGATGGTGTACGGTATGCTGGAGCAGCGGTGGTCAACCAGGACCAACAGGTGGAATGGGCGCAGGGGCTACCTCGAGGGACATCAGCTCAGAGGGCTGAGCTGATTGCTTTGACCAAGGCTCTGGAATTGGGAAAAGGAAAAAGGATAAATATATTCACTGATAGCCGTTATGCTTTTGCCACCCCCCACGTACACGGGGAGATTTATCAAAATAGAGGACTGTTGACCTCCAAAGGTAAGGAAATCAAAAATAAGACTGAGATATTGGCATTGCTACAAGCAATCTGGTTGCCTCGAGAGGTTGCCATCATCCATTGCCACGGGCACCAGAAGGGGCTTGGCCCCGAGATGATTGGTAATAATGCTGCTGACCAGGCAGCAAAACAAGCTGCCCAAAAATCAGTGGGGAAACAAATGGTTCTGCTTCCCACGCCGGTACTCCCAGAAAAACCTGAATACACAGATAAAGAAGTAGCAGAAATGAACAGGAGATGCTGGACTCGAGGAAAACATGGATGGTGGACGACTAAGGATGGAAAGGTGGTGCTCCTCCCAGCCGCTGTAACAGATACATTGCTGCGAGAACTACATGAGTCCACCCACCTCAGTGAAAAAAGGATGATGGCTGCCCTGTGACCTCATTTCATCAGCAAGGGATTAGCCCAAAAGGCCCAGGACATGGTGAGATGATGCTCCACCTGCCTCAAGGTAAATACAACCAGGCCCCCCCACCCGGGGTCCAACACAGAGGATTAACTCCAGGAGAACATTGGGGATTGGACTTTACTGAAATGAAGCCTGGCATGTATGGGTACAAATACCTGCTAGTTTTTGTGGATACCTTTTCAGGATGGGTAGAAGCATACCCCACTAAGAGGGAGACAGCTGAAGTAACAGTTAGAAAGCTCCTGACAGAAATAGTTCCCCATTTTGGTTTGCCCTTAGCTCTGGGGTCGGACAATGGTCCAGCCTTCATGGCCAAGATATCTAAATTAATTAGTAATATCCTTGGAATAAAGTGGAATCTACACTGTGCCTATAGGCCTCAAAGTTCAGGACAGATAGAAAGAACAAATCAAACTTTAAAGGAGATTCTGACTAAATTATGCTTGGAGACTGAACTAGGTTGGGTAGAGCTTCTCCCTTTTGCCCTCCTCCAAACGAGGTGCACTCCCAAGCCTCCCCTCAATCTGTCCCCCTTCCAGATTGTTTATGGGTGATCTCCCCCAATCATTCCGTTAGTAGATGTAGAATTAAAGGAAAAAGTTCTCCCACCTTCGACTCCTTAAATCCTTAAAAGCAGTTCATCAGCTTCAGTCAGAGGTACATGAGACATTACAAAAGGAAATGACTAGTCCCATTGAAAAACCTTTACAACCTTTACCCTATAAGCTGGGAGATTTGGTTTTTATTCTCAGGTTTGATTCCAAGACCCTGGAACATCATTGGAAGGGACCGGTTCCTGTTGTCCTGTCAACTCCCTTGGCGGTAAAGGTGGCTGGACATTCTGCCTGGATACATCGCAACCATCTGAAAGCAGGACCCCCCCGTGGACGTCAAAAAGGACAAATGGAAGGTTATCAGCCAACCAGGCAACCAAAAGCTAAGATTGGAGCGGGTTGGAGATGTTTCGCCTTCATGATAATGTTCTCTGGGACACTGGCAGTATTGCCCCCAGGAGGACTAGATCACACAAAAAAATGTATGGAGTCAATTGGCAAACTCGCTTAATTTGTCTGAATTCTGTCTAAATGTTGATGTAAATTTCCATCATGTATTGGGGACATGCCTCATGTCGTAAACCTAAGAATGCTGTCAAATTATATACACCCAGGGTAATTATGTCAAATAATACCCAATGTGGTATGTATGAAAACTGTATAACCAAATGTCTGAGGATAAAATGGTCAGAAGGAATGCTCTGCCATATAAAACAAAAAACATGTGTATAACAATTGCCATATCTCCCTACCAATAGGATGGTTTTATACCTGTGAAGAAATAACTTTCAATTATATCCCAGCCAATTTAACCAAGACCCATTCCTGCTTGAGTCATCTAGCTGTGGTTCTACCAGATAGAACTGATTTGATTATGCCAAACAGAACTAAACATTGGTCACCCTATACTGCACCAGGATGTGATGATGATGTAGGTCTGTTGACAGATGCTGAAGTAATAACCATGATAGCATCTTTTGTTGCCTTGCCTTCCATAGGAGTCCATACTGAAAAGGCAGTAAGGAAATTAACATGCAAGGTGGTCAAAAGGTTAAATGCTACCTCATCAGCCTTGGCATTAATTAACCAAGAGTTACAAGAACAGAGACAGGCAATCTTAGACAATAGGGCAGCGATAGACTATTTGTTGCTCTTCTACCACCAAGGTTGTGAGAAAATAAGAAATATGTGTTGTTTCAATCTTACTGACAATAGTCCAAAAATCAAAGAAAAGGTAAAACAATTGGAAGACCTGGCTCAAAGGGTACATAATGAAGATGGCTGGGACTTGTTCCAATGGCTAACTAAATGGTTGCCCAACCTACAATGGTTAAAACAACTTTTTCTCATCATTATAGTTGTGTGTATATGCTTATTATTGTCATGCTGTTGTATACAATGGATGCCTACATTTATACGTAAGATTACTTAAGTTGTAAAATCAGTGGGGAATGTGGGACTGCATAACTCTGTAATCATAAAACTCCCCTAGCCCCAACTGTGAATGTGAGTAAATAGATAAAGATGCTTGTTAGTTCTGGGACACTAGATAAGATCTGTTTCAGCCATAAGGTCCCAAAGTAAATTACTCAACTCTTTGTTCTGTTGAACTGATGTTCTGAACACTGCTATCTATAGAACTATCTACAAACATCTGCTGACCATCAGTACATGTCAGCTGACCACTACCCTTTGTTCCTCTTCTGTAAATTTCTCCTGTTAACTTCCCCTGCAACCCCCTATAAAAAGAGCCTCCGACTCTGGGCTAGTCACCTCTCTAAGCTACTTTGCTTTGGGAGTGCCGTCTGGCCAGACTAAGGTCTGTTTCACTTTCCAACTTGTCCGGTGTGTTCCTTCCCGGGTGTTCTTCGCTGCAGT